AAAATATTATTGTTATAAAAAATTATAAAAAAATTAATAAATAATCGAGGATGTTCAGGAGGATCAGGAGACACGGTAGTGTCTCGGCTAAGTCAAGCGCAACGACACTGCCGTGCTTCCTTTACCCCGGATCTACAATAGGGTTTTAAGCCTTAAGTCATAAGAAATGGGCGAATCACAGTCGATTATTCCCCTCGGATTTGACTATAATCGGTCAATTTCTTACAGCTTAAGTCTTAAAACACCTATTGTAGATCCGGACTTACGCGAGTCGGCGAGTTGCGGGTAATTGAGATTTTGTAATAACCTGGGTAAAAAAGTTTTATATATAATTATATAAAATTATATCTACATATATATTTGAACATATTTTATATATAATTATGTATAATTTTATATAATTATATATAAAACATTTTTTCTTGAGAAGAAATTTAAATTTGTATACGTCTCGTTATTAGGTAAAATTGTAAAATGGATGCCAGTAAAATAGATGTTAAAATAGAAATTGTAATTTGCTTTCTGGATCCATTCTTTATTAAGTAAATTTTATCCTTTTTTAAGGTTATGCTCGAAGTGACAATAAAAATCGATACTTGTATAATAATTGAACTTTTATATTATATTATGCAATTATGTGTTCCTCTGAGTCTGCACTATTACTGCACTAATGCAGTTTTCATATAAACCTAGCACGGCGCTAGTTTTCCCAGTGGAAAACGCTATTAGAGTCGAAACTCTAGATAACTCAATCCTGGGTCATCAGGTTGGGAATCTGAACACACCCAAAGGTGATGCAGTTGGGGTCAACCCCCTCCGACTCTACCATTTTTCTTTATACTACCACGATCTCTAATGCGTGGTCTACAATGGGCAGTAGCAGTAGTGGATTAAGAAGTAGACATTAGAAGTAGGCTGTAGGATTAGGGTCTCTTTACGTCTGAGTGTCTACAATGACTTAGAGACTTGCACCGATTTGTCTCCATGCTTCGGTTTTCACATTGGCGTTGGCATATAATTTTTCGGTCTTATCATACAAAAACCGATTGCACCGGACCACGGCAATTAATTCTCGGTTAATCCTTATTTCAAAATCACGCCCAGAACTATCGTGAAACTCCATGTCTGCCATACTCGAAATTTAGGTTATAGCATGCAAAAACAGCACTAGCTTCTTGCGCGCGTTTTCTTTACTACTGAATGCTGAGTTCTCATTGGTTGAGAGTAAGAGAGTAAACGTAAGAAATGGATTTCAACCATTTCGCTTACGGACTTACTCTACACCCTATAATACCGAAAAACCAGCTTACTGCGACGTCTTACTGCTTCATCCGCTACTACTACTGCCCATTGTAGACCA